CTTCTTTAGAAGCAGTTATTAGTTCTTTCACTGCAGTGTTTTTTTTCAGATTGGGTTTCCTCCCTATGTTTCTGTAGTTGATTCTTTACTTCAGATGTTATGAGTTCCAAGAATTCTTTTCTTATTTCAGAAAATTCTGCTCTGAATTATTTACTATTGACACTATTAATTCATACATTTCAGCTGAGCTGGTAGAAAAGAATTCCTCGCTGAGTTCCTCTGTGACTTTCTGCTGTTGCTTATTTACTATTGACGCTATTAATTCATACATTTGAGCTGAGCTAGTGTCCTCTGCACTTGTTTGGGTGTGCTTTTGGTTCCTTCTATATGTTTCTGCATTTGATTCTTTACTGCAGATGGTATTAATTCAGGGATTTCTTTTTTCATTTCCAATCTGAGTTCCTCTATACCTTTCTGCAGTTGTTTCTTTATTTCGGAAGCTGTTTATTCATTGATTTCTGCTGTGTGATTCCCAATTTGTTCTGTGTTAGTGTCCTCTGCACTTGTTATGGGTGGGCTTGGCGTCTGAGATTGCATTTTGCTCCTTCTTCTTGTCATTTTGTGTAGCACTGTCTTCTGACCTTTGTTGTAGAGCTTTGGTGCAGTTCTAACCTTAGCACCTACTGAAGTTCATGTGCAGATCTACAAAGTTTGGATTTATCCAGCTGTGCCTGGCTTCATTCTGGCTGCTGTGCTCAGTTCCTTCCTGTTGTCACCCTTGGGAGTGAACCTGTTGTGCCCCTCTGGCAAGATGTTCTGCTCCTGTACTAGCTGAGTGATTCTGTCCCCTACTCTCTCTGCAGGAATTGCAGTTGCAGGGTTTCACCCCAGACCTGTATGCCAGGCCTGAGCTGAGTCTGGAGGGGACAAGGTGGAGTAGTGTGTAGAGGAAGCTCTCCCTCACACTCACTGGGCCTGGCCTAGGAGTGGATTTTGGGGTCCCTAGAACGTGGCAGAAATTCTCACTGGGTGGGCAGGGTGGATTGGGGTGCTGTGGAGTGGCAGTGGTGGTCTCAAAGGGGTAGAAGAGGGTCTCCCCCATGCTGCGCCTGCCCTGGGACCAGCAGGTACCTCAGGCACAGGTTAGCTGGAAGCTCTCCCACACACTCACCAGGCCTGGGTTAGGACTAGATCTGGGGTTCCCTAGAACGCGGCAGAAATTCTCACCTGGCAGACAAGGTGGGTGTGGTTGTTCTGGGGAGTGGTGGTTGGGGGTCCCAAGGGAGTGGAAAAGGGTCTCACCCACGCTGCTCCTGGGCTTGGACTGGCTGGTCCCGCCTGTGCAGGGTAGCAGGAAGCTCTCCACACACTCACTGGACCTAGGCTAGAGCTGGATCTGGGGTTCCCTAGAACGCGGCAGAAATTCTCACCTGGCAGACAAGGTGGGTGTGGTTGTTCTGGGGAGTGGTGGTTGGGGGTCCCAAGGGAGTGGAAAAGGGTCTCACCCACGCTGCTCCTGGGCTTGGACTGGCTGGTCCCGCCTGTGCAGGGTCTGTTCTGTTTATTTTAAAATAAGTTTAAATGTAACAGAGTAATCATAGTAAGTAACACGGTACTTATGTTTTAGGGAGTTTGCTTAATGAAGTTAATAATATTTACATGTTTAAAAATTGATTCTCCAAAATTTTGTGCAGTTAGATATGTTTATTAAATAGAGTATTAAAATACAAATAGTAGTCTTTCTCTTCATGCACAAGAGCCCTTTGGGTATTAATGAGCCTTTCAGTAATTTGCAGAGAAAAGTGATGTCATGAGAACTCCAATACTTCAGAGTCTACCACAGTGATTCTCTAAGCCAGTCTGTTTTCAGTTGCTATTTTGTCCCACAGCTTTGCCACAGAGTTATCCCCAAATCCTTTTTTTTTTTTCATTTTTTTAGTAATATTTCTTAAAAAGTCTTAAAGAAAAAATATGATACAGGACCTAAGCATATGTTATTAACACATGTTCTAAAATGTGGTAGATCACATCAGTCCTGAATTAATTTTTTATTAAAAAACAAAACAAAAAAACCCCAACTAACTGAACTTTATTCTTTTTCTATGCCTCTATAGCTTTCTTTCACCTCATTTTAATGTCTACTTCACTTTATGTTGTTTTCAGTATTCTTCAAGAAATCTTTGAACAGTAGTCCTGCTTAGTTTGACTGAATCCTTGATTTTTAGTTTGGCTTTTCATCCGGTGCTCACAACACCAATGCTCAAAATGGTTTGCAGAACTACACTGCCTTTTCCTTCAGAAGACGCTTTCATATGTCTTCTTACTTGACTTAGTTCCATTTTCATCTGTGCATACTTATGCTGCACTTCAGATTTAATGTCTTCACTGGTCCCATTGAAGGACCATTCTACCTCATTCTTAGAAACATTTTTCTTTGATTCAGGGCTTGTGTCTTTGCTCTGCTTTTCTTGACTGCTGGACTTCACACTACTTTTTAAAAGTAATTTGAGTTGCCTCAGCCATTGCACATTCCTCTTGCACTTATACCTGGTCATTCAAGTTAGCTCAATGAAATGATCACCCAATGAGTCTCATGTTCAAGAGTAGGTCTTCATCTTCCTCAGCTGCTTTCTCCCCACCAGCAGCTGGCTCAGCCCCGCTCAGCCCACACTACTTTTTTATCTTCAGATCCCCTCTTTTCTGCTTTCTCCTTGGATTTTCTGTCTTGTTCTCTATCTCAACTCTTGCTCCTGTGCTTATATGACTTCTGATCCTGGCTTTTTGACCATCTTCAATACCAACTGCAAGATCTGTTTCCTTTCTGATCTGTCATGGCTTCTGCTTCTCTACTGCTTTGCCTTCTTTCCCTGCTTTGTGATCTTTTGTGGTCTTGGGACCTGCTGCATCTCTGGTCAGAAGTTTGACTTCAGTGTCTACTTCATGAACAACTTCTCTTTCATTTTTATCATGAGATTGCTCTTTCTCTCTTTCCTCCTCCTCTTTTCATCTTTTTCTTTCTCTTTCTTCCCTTTCTCTCTCCCATTCTTTTTCTCTTTCTTGCTTCTCTTTTTTTTAGACACTCATCCTGATCAGGTTCTTCAGTTCTTTTTCTTAACTTTTCTTTTAGTTCTTCTACAGTAGCTCTAATTTTGGCATAGCCCATGTATTGTTTCCCCATCAGGTGATCATCTACCTGGGACTGGGCATCTCCTCCTATCAAAAAGGCTTTACACACTTCACAAACTTCCATTTGTTTTTTTGGGCAGCAAAACTTTCAATGGTTGAAGTTGTGGATCTAACTCTTCTCTTCTTTTAGCTATTCAACTAATTTCATCACTCTCGAGGCTTCTTCTACCTTTCCTTCATATCCCAATTCTTCAATCTGCTATAGGAGCACATCAGTTTTGTCTGTGAGAACCTGGATTTTTTCCTCATTTTTGCCTGTTGGGCCAGCTGACCCAGGGAATTGCTGGTTTTGAGATAATGCCCAACGAGCATGGCCTTGTCTGATTCTACATTCTACTTCTGTTAATAAGTTCTGTAAGTGTCGCAAAAAATCTCTCTCACAGCCCATTTTCATGAGAGGAGAACTCTTTTCATATTGTTTTCATAAATTTTCATCATGAATTTTTATCACATGGACCAAGATCAGAATGAGTATTTGTGAACAATTCCACAGGACAAAAACCACAGAGATAATATTTACAAACCTGGATGTAGTGACCCACACCTGTAATCCCAGCTTCTTAGGAGGCCAAGTCAGGAGGATTTCAAATTCAAGGAAATCTGAACAACTTAACCACATCGCTCTCATGGTCTCACTGCACATTTCTGCACTTCTCATCCGGGGTGAGGTTTTGGTCCTGGCCCATTAATTCATCCAACAATTGTGTGGCCAAAATCATGGTGCTTCCTTCCAGAGGCTTCTCCCAACCAGCCCTGATGCCTGGCAATGAGAACCCTGGTGATACAGCCACCAACTCCTTCAGCACTCTCACACTGAGGAGCCCACAGGGGAGCCGACATGACAGAAAAACATCCCAGAATCCTTTATCCTTCATTTGCAGTAGTGAAATGGCAGAGAATTGGCCTGCAACCAGGCATTTTCTAATTCTGTAAATCAGTCAATACATAATACAGCTAGTACCCAACTAGATGGTCACTTTCCTGTACCAATTATTGTACTTATTTATATAGTACTTTGCAGGTAATAACCTCATAAAGAGAATTAGGCATAGGAAATAGATTATTCTCTCTGCCTCATCATCCCTTTCCTATGTCACTCCCTCTCTGCTATGATAAATCAATGCTTCTTTATCCAACAAGATTCCTTTCCCCTTAAAAATCTGTATATAATGAATAGTTCTATGTGATAAATTTGCATCTCTTTAAGCTTATTCCACAGTTTAAGGGTCTTTTTTTGTTTTCATTTTTGGTACCAGGAATCAAACTTAGGGCTTCACATTTGCATGCTGAGCTACATTCCCTGACTGTCATAGTTTATACTTAATAGTTTATATGCTTTTCTTATTCTGCTGGGTATATGCAGCATTTCTGCATTTTTTAAAAAGAGAGAGTAGAGAAATGGGAAAAAAACAATCAAGTTTTATCATGTACAGGTACAAATTCCCTATGATCATTATGTGTACCTAAAATGTACCAATAAATGTAACAAAAAAGAGAGCCTCATACCCTGGATAAATAAAAGCCTTAATAATGACCAGCAGACTTAAAACTCTATGCTTTTATTAATCAAATCACAATTAAAAGTGCCATAATACTTGCTGGAAAAATGCTTTAAAGTCAGGGAGATGTAAGGGGAAAATTTTAAGTGGTGATTCAAAATTAAAAAAAAATAGATGGCAGGTATACATCATAACATTCCTAAATATAGAATGATATATAGATTTTTAATCCATTCCTTTCTCCCACCTGCCCAATTCTCTTGCCTGAAGGCAACTGTAGCTCTCATTCCCTTGTGTATCTTGTAGAGGTATCCTATGTATGTCACTTAATGCTAATTTTAATTACTTAATAATAATTTACTTTAATTATTTCAGATGACTCCAGAATTGATGACGAAAGCATGCACTTTTTACATGGGACGTTTAGTAAAGACCCATTTTTGGTAAGAATGTGATTTTTCTGATTAAAATGGAGGGATAAGGGAAGTATTTCTTCCCGATCCTCTCAGTTTATTTACTAATGTGTTTCTCTAATATCAAAATATAATCTCTTACAGTGCATGGAGAGAAATGGTAAGGCCTCATGTAAGTGAAGAAGACATACTGGCTGAAAAAATGAAAAGAGCAACAGAACATTATAATTCCGGCGTTCAAAGAGCCTTATTTCATCAATGGCGCTCCTATGCTGAAAAGAATAGACAAAAAGTTGATGGTAAATCTTTACGTGATAGCAGTTCCTTTTGTGTGCTCAGATGAATCTGTTTTTGTTTATTTGTTTTGTGCTGCATGGCTGAGCTATATCCCTGGCCCTCAACCCTTTTTTATGTTTAGAAAATTGCTGTTTAGAGCACTATTATGAAATGATGGCAAAACCACTAATTTTAAATACTTGAGATTTTTGGGAAAAGATTTTTATTATAATAGAAACTGGCGTATTTAAAACTGAATCTCGAGTGTATTTGTTGATGTACGTATATAAATACAGATCTACTATTTGTTATGTAATAGAGAGCTGATAAATTCTGGGTAGGTACAAAAAAGTTGACATTTGTTACAAATTTTTCATTTAATGCACATGTGAGGAAGCGTATTTTCTCTTACTCGAAACTTAAGTCTTTGAGAGAGGATAGTGCGCATGTGTGAACTAAGGACTCAGGATACACGTCTCCTGCCTTTGGTTAGATTTTTTCCTGACTCCTGTACGGCTAGGAAAAACCAGAAAATCCGTTCCTTTTGATGGGCTCTTGTCTGTATTTCCCTCAGAGCGGATGCTTGTACGGTTTAAATGTAAATGTAGTGCAGAATTAGGAACTGGCTAATTGGCTGACTTGCACTTTACAGGGTTACAGTAGTGGGTGGCAGCTCTGTTAATAACTCCCATCATTCGAACTGCAAACTCTGTTATAAAAGCAGATTGATTTACAGATTAGCGTAGCCTCCCTACCAAATTCTTGTCCTCTCTCTCAGAGGATGTTAGTGAGCTTTCTGTCATAGAGACACAGTACCCCACCTCCACAGCTTAATGCAGGGTCTTGCTTTGCTCACGTTTCAGCACCGATCAGCTGGCCCTAAGGTGGAGGCCTCACAGAGGAGGGCCGTGGGGAGCAAAGCTGCTCAGTTCCTCCTGGTGCCAGGAAGCACAGCAGAGCAGAACCAGAGCGGGAGTGAGGGGCCAGACACAGACACCGTCCAGACCATGCCTCTGTGACCCTCCCGCACACACCTAGACGTATGCTCTGCTACCCTCTCGGGTGGCTCCAGAGCCAATCCAGTTGAAGCCCCAGCCCACGTGCTGCGCGGAGTTCCTCCTGCCTTCAGCGCCGCTCTTCTGCTGGTTTCTTGCATCTTCTTCATGTTTTTCTTTTTAATCTTTCCCTCTCACTGGCTTCCTCCGTGTTGTACCTTCTCTTGTTCTCTGACCCTATGTCTTTGTCGTTGTCTCCTTCACCTCCAGCCTCTTTCTCACTGTTAGCTGCACCATGTGAAGGTGTGGAGACTGATACTCTGTCCTATCCTCCTCCTGTTCTTCCTTCTTCATTCTATCCATTAAAAAACAATTCCCTTTCACCTCTTGCCTTTTTTTGTCTTGTCTAAGCGTCATACAACACAAGGGCATATATTTTTAAAATCTTTATTGTATTTATGTAGTAAACATTCATATTCCTGTTTTTAATCCAAGTCAAGTCATCTCAAAATGACATAATCTCTTAAAAATATCTATGTCATCTTCATATTATGGCACTTCTTGGGGGCTGGTCCTCTTTCCCTCTGGAAGGCAATATTCTACATAATCCATGATCATGAAAAAAATTAAAATTTTGCTTGAGATTTAACTGCCTGAAATTTCGAGTAATAGGCTCACATTATGATTTTTAAGTGGAACCGTTAAAATGAACAAAATTGATAAAACATAACAACTATTGATATATTTATCATACATTTATGTGATGATACTATATGACCTTAAAAGTCTTAAGAAATATTATTATGAGCAGAAATAATTTAGAGGATACATAGACAACCTTTTAGCATGTGTAAGTGGTAGCAAATAGGAATTTATGATAAGATAATTTAATAATTCCCCACAAGAGGCTTTTACTTTGGAGCTGTTATAATTTAAATAATAAAAATTAAACTCAACCTGAATATTTAAATATATGAAAGTGTATTTTGGTGGAAGGGAATTCAAGCAAAGGGCATTGAGCTGCAAATGAATAGAAAACCTTATTGTCTTAAATCATTAACATTTTCCCTTTTTTATTAGTACATGTTTGCACTACATAGTGATTAGTGATTACAATTATCAGGGGGAGTTTGTACATATTCATGACATCTTAATTTTATGGGGCCCTTTCTCCTCCCGTCCATCCTTGTCCCCTTCAACAGTTATTCCCCTTCACATCTGCAAAAGCTCTATTTCCATTTATCTTCAGTTCTCATTTTCATCCCTTTTCCCTCCTCCCCTAGTCGCTCCTTGCCTATCTTGTTCCCATTCCCATTGGAAAAGATCTCCTTCCTCCCTATGACCTTTCCCTGTACACAGTAACCTCATACATTTTCTGTAGATGCAGTACAGAGGATGCAGCACATACTCCATTATCACAAGCTAAAAGTTATCCTCAGGAAATGGAAGAAGCAAGCAAGATACATACATCAAAAGAGAGAAGAAGACCTGGTATGTGGCACATTCCAAACTTATTTTTTTTAAAGAATCTGATTCACTTAGTTATGCTGTTTCAGAATGGTACTATACGTGGAAAATATTAAAATCTTGCATACTGTATACCTTTTGTGGGATCCTTGTTCTTTTAATAATTTGATAATTTAACTTTTGTTTCAGTTAACCCAAACATTTCCTAAGAATTTCTATAGTGTGCTTTGAACCATGAATATCAAGGGAAAATCTTTCTACATTTAAAAAATGTATTGATGTAGATACTAAGAATTTTGTTTAAACAAATATTTAGAAGGGGAGATAGATGTCTAAAGTGGAAGAGAAACTTTGATATAGTTAAAATAGAAAAATAAATGCTGAATAAATCTATTCCTTTTCTATTTAAGCTTAAATTTCTTTTTTTAGCTTAAATTTCTATTTATTCTTTTTCAATATTCAATTTAATAAATCATAATTTCAACATTAAATGATTTTTTAGTGCCAATCTTAGAGTCTTACCTAGGAATTAAAGCAACTGAAACACAGAACCTAAGCAATCTCCTACAAAAACACCATTTGCTTGTCATCTGTATAGTATTACTGTTTGTTGTTTTAGAATATTTAGAGTGACTACTTGGATCAAACTACTGGGATACTGGAATTGTTTTATAATTACATTTAGTAGGCAATATTTTATTAATATTCTTCAAAATACCAAGTCATGGTAAATAGGAAAAAGGATAAGATTAAATCCCTTTCTTTTGTGGTTACCTCTTGGGGGCAGGATCTGTACAGTTACCCCCAAATTGGTACAAATGTTGAAACTGGTGGTACCACATGAGCAGGAAGAGACACTAAGAAGACGTCTTACTGCTCACAGAGTGCTTGAGGGAGCACAGACTCTGTGGAGGATACTGAGAGGCATGAACGTGCTCTGTACTCCTAGCACATTGATCTGTGGATCCTGAGCTGCTGGTGTTCCTGTCGGCTGCCTCTGGCCCTTCCCTTTTGTGAACCACCTTTCCAGCCTTGCCAGATAAACAGTTCCATTTTAGGTTCCACTGTGTGCATCTGCTCATTCTGTGCTTTCTACTACTTTCTGTAGTTAGTTAGTGTTTTGATCACTGTGCTGTTCCTAATTACTGCATGTTGAAGGGTGAAATAGCCTCTTTTACATATCCATTAAGATAATCCCAAGGCAGGCACATTCTCTTAATGTAACACATATGCTGATCATGTTGTTTTATACACATCTGTTGGTAGGCTATGTATTATATATAATGGATATTATCCTTAATACATACATGAGTTATATAGTTGAGTGTTCAAGGAAAAATCTTTTCTTCTAGTTACACAAGTTCTTGGTGGAGTGACGATGGCCAACTGTGTGCAGGCAACAAGGGCTAGGGACACCCATGTGCTGTGTGTGTGCTGATTCTCTAGTGTGTGCCCTTCCTTAGCCTCCAGTATGTGTAAGTACACCGATATACTGAAATAGTGTGTGTGTGTGTGTGTGTGTGTGTGTGTGTGTGAAAGAGAGAGAGAGGCAGAGAGAGAGACAGACAGAGAGACAGAGACACAGAGAGACATAGAGACAGACAGACAGAGCAAGAAAGAGAGACAGAGACAGAGACACAGAGAAACACAGAGAGAGAAACTTGTTTTTCTTTAAGGCATCATCTTCTTTGCTTTTCTTGTTGTTGAGACAAAATACCCAACACCTAAAATTAAAGGAAGGAAGCTTTATTTAGTTCATTGTTTGCAGAGGTTTCAGTCCACAATTGGTTGGCTCCAAGGCAGGGCGGCATGGCAGAGGGGCATCACAGAGGAGACACAGTCTGCAGTCCTTGACAAGCAGACAGGCAAGAGCACATTACCTCTCTTTCTTCCTCTTATATTTTTTTGAGGTTACCTTCCCTACAGCAGGTGTAGCATGCACTACATTGGCCAGAGTGGTGCCAAACCAGCCCATAGACTGTTTTAGTCATCACATAGCCTTTATCCAAGCACCATACACTCTTGATTGAGCCACCTATTGCTGCATGGGGCTTTGGAGGTCCATCGAGACACAAGCCATAATACACATCTTACTTGTACAGTTTCCAGGAGTATATCACAGTTAAGATGGGAACTTCCTATAATGATAAATCAGACAGGCTCCCAGATCATGTCTTTGCTATTCTCTTCCATTTTGGTTCTGTCTGTACTAATCACCAGCCTCCCATACCCTAAGCACCAGTTCTGTTATTACTGGAAGGAGCACTTTTGGGCCTCAGTTTGCTCACAGACAAAAACAGGAGGCTAGACTCAATCTGCCTGGGCAGCATAACAGCAAATGGAAATGACCTGCAAAGCTTTGGTGGTTCAGGGACTATTAAGGATGCATATGGAAAATAGTACTTTTTAAATAATGATGAGAGTAAATACTGTTTAATTGGTGCTCTTTTTGGTAAAATATTATGCTTGAAACATTGCATACATATCTGTCTTCTCATTTGGCACTTAAGAGTGATTCCCTGGAATCTATAAATCATATTATTGCAGCTATTACAACATGAAATTGAATTGAAAAAATGGAGAAGTAAGTCAGAATTGAAAATGGCTGAAGAAATTGCAGAGGAATCTATTTCTCTTGAGCGAAGTTTGTCTGAAGTCTCTCTTGTAGATGACACTTCACAATGTGATATTTCACTGTTACCTGAAAGAGCAGTATTAAAGGTTTGTATGAATTTTTAAAATATTTCTAAATTAAAAATTGTGATTAGTACTGTTTGTGCTATGCAGTGGATAGTTGAAATACATGTAATACATCTGAATTTTTTACGCCCTTTCCCTTTCTTCCTCCCCTTCCCATTATCTCTTAGCCACCTTCCCATTTGCCAAAGTTCTATCTCTCTATTTTCTGACCATTTTTATTTTTCTCTTTGATTTATTTATATTTTAGGCTTCTCATGTAAGAGAAACCATGCAATATTTAAACCTGGGGTCTGATTTATTTCAGTTAACATTATGGTCTCGAGGCGCATCCATTTGCCTATAAATGACTCTAATTTATTTATTTTTTTTGGTTTGTTTTTCTTTTCTTTTTTTTTTCTTTTCAAAGTTTTATTGATAAACATATAGCAATGAGACAGTTTCAAATCAAATTGAAAGTACAGTTTCAACAAATAATACACTGCATATATTCTTCTTAGTGGTTAATTGCTGTACAAGATGCAGACTTGTGATCCTACTTACAAACACCATTAGAAAAAATCATTCTATTCATTAAGAGAATGCAACTATATATCTATCCCAACCACTTTCAATACACAGATACAAAATGGACATTCATAGTTATACCCCATTTTTTTTAAGTTCCGTTATTGAATATTATAGGTGTGTAAACTCAGTAAAATATTCTAAAAGAAACCAGTAGCCCATAATAGCATTGGGTCTTCTGTTTAACTGGCAATGTCAGAAATTATTGACCTGAGTCCCCCACAGCTCAACATAACAACATGGCTTTACTTCCTATATTTTGTCTTCATACTTTTCTACTGGATGGTTAAGACCAAGGTAAAGCAGGACCTATGCAACAAGAGTTGTAGCTTTTTGATCTGAGTGGTTTGTTTTTCTGAAACAGGGTTTCACTATGCAGTTCAGGCTGAACTTGAACTCACTTGGTAGCCTAGGCTGGTCTTGAATTCACAGAAATCCTCCTGCCACTGCCTGGGATTTCAAGCATGCACCACCCTGCCCAGAAAACTTATCTTTCTTTGTAGCAGAGTAGTGCTCCGTTGTGTAGCAATGGCACATTTTCTTTTTCCATTCATTTGCTGATACACACATAGCTCACTTCCACAATTTAGCTATTGTGAACTGTGTTGCTATGAACGTGAATATGCATGCATCACTGTAATATGTTAACTTTCTTCTAGAAAGGGAATATCAATGTTCCTTTAATTTGGATTTCTCTAATTGCCCGTGATGTTAAATATTTTTTCATATTATGTATTGGACATTTGTACTTCTTCTGAGAAATGTCTATTCATTTCAGTTGCTCATTGTTTGATTGGGTCTTTTGACCATAGGAGTGTTTTTATTTTTCTTTCTTTGTATATTTTATATGTTAACTCTTTGTCCGAGGTGTAGCTGGCAAAAATTTTCCCATTCAGTAGGTTACCTCTTCATTCTGCTGCTTATTTCTTTGTGGTCCAGAAGCTTTTTAGTTTGATTTGATATAAGCTCATTTATTAATTCTTGACATTATTTCTGTTGGAGTTCTGTTCAGAAAGTTTTTGCCTACACCTATGTCAGAAGTTTTATCTATTTTGTCTCTTAGTAGACTGTTTCTGTTTTAACACTGAGGTGTTGATCCATTCTAAGTTTAGTGTGATACATGGGTCCAGATTCAATCTTCTGTGTGTGAATAGCTGGTTTTCCCAGCATCATTTATTAAAGAGATTCTCTCCAGTATATGTTTTGGTCCCTTTGTCAGAGATCAGGTGGCCAAATGTGCCTGAAGTTGTTTCAGCACCCTCTGCTCTGTTCCACTGGTACATATATCTGGCTTTACCAATACTAAACATACATCAAATATGAACATTAAAACTTATTTTAATAATTCTTCCCTGTTGTCAATAGTCCTGACAGACCATATTGCACTACTCTCTGTGCTTTATCCAGGATTTGGTGGATGGGGGATTAGGCAGCATGGGCAAGGGCAAGGGCAGTGTACATCAATGGGGAGAGAAGACGGGAAGACAAATGCTAATAGGTAAAAATAGACAGGAAATCAGATTCTGTTGGGATTATTTTATAACTGGGTGAAAGAGTGGGTGTTGAGGAGGTTTTAGAAAGTATTTGTATGGGTAGGAAGATGATGTATGCCAATGAGTGCGATGGATTTAGAGATTGAAGGAGGCTGCAATGTCACTGGTGCTTGTTAATATGTTTGCAGGTAACTGCTTAGATCCTGTAAGCCCCCCCCCCCTTTAAAAATGTATTTGGTACAGGGTTTCACTGCACAGCTCAGACTCATAGTGATCCTTCTGTTTTCAGCCTCCCCAGCACTGGGATTGTAGGTGTGCACCACCACACCCAGACTTGGTCACCAGCTCAGCGAGCCCAGGGCAGGGCTGGCAGGGCATGTGGTACCCAGATCCCTGAGCTTGCCTAAGCAGGTGCTTAGTCCACTGAGCTATCTCACCAGCCTCCTAGTTTTGTTAAGGGTTTCCTTGACATGCTTTTAAATGGTGTTACTTGGTTCTTACTCCTATGGGCTTATATAGTTCCCTGTTATGCTTAATGTTGTTAAATTGGTGGAGAGTAGGTAAAGGAAGAGTAGGAGGCAAGATAATGAGGAGTAGAGAAGCACAACAATAATGTGGGCAGAGAGTCAAAATATAGGAGGGACGAGAAACTAGAAGAAGGAGTAGATCAAAGGGGGAACCCTTGAAATTTAAAGTATAATAATCAGCCAATACCCATAAAGAAAAAATCTCCCCCCAAAAAAGAAGAGAAAAATGAAAACAATAGAAAGAAAACCAATCAGGATGACCCAAGTCCAACAAAGTAGCAAAGTCACAATGACTAGTTACTAAGATAACAATAGAAATAAGAATTTAAAACCTTCACACAGTCATTTTGGCATTAACCCAGAGCTCTTTCTACACCAGCATTACTGCCTAGTTTTAGGGTAGCTCTGCAGTTCTCGCCTGTGGGTGAGACAGTTGCCTCTCTGAGGCCTGCCTTGAGGACTATTGCTCTCTCCAAGCCCATGTCCTGGTTTCAAGCACAAAGAGCGTCTACTGCTGCAAACCTCCATGGAGCCAATTGCCTTCATCCACTGGGGGGTGTTAACTATTGTAGGCATCTCCACACCCTACCTCCTCAGGTTTCCTTGCCTTTCCTACGGCTGAAAAGCCACTGGTCCAGCCATTGTTTAGTGCCTCTTTGAGCAGTATCAGCAGAGCTAGTTTTCCCTTCCTTCTCTTGTTCTGAGCTAGTAGTTGTTCCCTCTCCAGCAGAGCCTGCTGGTAGCCATGGGTATGATGCTGATTGTTGCATATACAGCAATTCCACCGCATGTAGTGCAATTGACTGCCTATGTTGCTGCTGCTGCTGCTACTACTACTGTTACTACTGCTAATATGATAATGGTGGTGGTGGTGATGATGTATGATGGTGGTAGTGGTGGTGGTGGTGATTGGCTGCATTAGGGAAACCTCTTGCCCTCATGTCCCACCACCTGCTCGCACTGAAGTTTTGCCCACTGGCCCTGGAGGAGGGTGTAAGGCGCTTAGCAGTTAAATTCTGTGGAACTTCTGTTTTCAGTTTCTTTGAGTACCCTAGTTGGAAATGTTTTACTTCGCTGCCCCCAGCACAGAGGATAGTGTGGCTGTGTCCCTCTGCCAGGCTGTCACTGAAGGGCTGGCTGACTCTGACCCTTGCTCCCATCCTCTCCCAAGATGGTGCAAAGTCTTCTGGGTCTGGAGAGGCGGGAGTAGGGTCCTGTGATCTAGGAGTAGACCAGTTTCCATTTGGCCCAGACTGATGGCTTTAGGACTGAACTGAATAGGAAAGAGAAAGGAAAAGTGTAGGGAAGGGGTTCAGTTTTCTTTTAAAGAAAACCACAGGAAACAAAAGAATTTTAAGATTTTTTGGTCTTCATCACCGGAGTTTTAGCAATTTGATTATGATGTCTGTTGGTATACTTTTTTTTTTGATCTTCCTAAAGTTCACCATCTTCTTGTCTGCTTTAGCAAACCTGGGAAATTTTTAAACATTACTTCTTTAAATATTTTTGTGTCTTTTCCCTTCCTTTTTCGCAATAGGAGGTCTTAGCTATACCTCTATTAGGTGATGATATTGTCCCAGCATTGTTGAATTTCTGTACTGTTGGTTTTACTTTTTCTTTTGTGCTTCATTTTAAATACCATTCATTACTCTTTCAAGTTCAGTAATTTTTATGAATTATCTAGTCTGCTATTCTCTCCTAGGGAATTTATAAATTATAGATATTATATTCATTGGGTTCATTTTAAAAATACAACTTTTTAAATTCATTTTTCTTTTAAGTCCTTTAGGCAGTTTTATAATAGCTATTCACAAGAATTTGTCTTCTACCTGTTATCACTGCAGTTTCTCAGTGTGTTTCTGTTTTTCATATTTGCATGCACACAGGCGCATGTGCGTGTGTGTGGCCCTTGGCATTGAACCCAAGACTTCCACATTGAAGTATATCTCCGGGTCATTGCTTCTCAGCCTTTTGGCTAAGACCAAGTGAGGTATATCCCCAGATCATATTATACTTTTTATTATGACAGAGTTTTGCTAAATTTCCCAGGATAGGTTCAAACTTGTGAACGTCCTGCCTCAGCCTGCCAGAATACTGGGACTGCAGGCATGAGTGACTATGCCCAGCTATTTTTGTGCTTCTTTGTTTTTTTTATGTTTACTAATACTTTTTTTTTATTTTTCAACAAATAATACACTGCATATATTCTTCTTAGTGGTTAATTGCTGTACAAGATGCGGACTTGTGATCCTATTTACA